ATGGAAATTGACTTGTTCTGTGAGCTGGGCACATGGGAGTGGGTCAGTCAGCATTTGCCATGCTGTGCAAGGCATGACACAACTTGGCTAATAGACACTGAAAGAAACATAGACTGTCTCTGGACATGGCTTTGCTTTGTACTGGCTTTAAGTATGAAAAAATAATTTGCAACACAGACAACTGCATGTTTAGCAAAACACAGATCCTCAGAGGAAGTTTGACTAAGTCAGTAATACCAACCTTGAGTCCATTCTCCTGTATAGACCAGATAGGTATCACCTACTATGAACATGTAATTGTCCTTCATTATCAGAAGATAGAGAATATGACCAATGGACTAAACAAATCCCAGGTGAGCAGACACGGTGCATTCTTACTTTTAACAAGCCAGTGGCATTGGGCATGGGTCTGGTTCAGTGTATTGGATAACCAAGCTGTGTTTCAAAATGCTCCATTTTCTAAAAACATGGTGGGCATTGCAAACAAAAGTAAGAATCATGATTTTAAACACCAAAGGCCATAGCTAAGAAGGTTGATTAGATAATAAAAAGACCTGAAATAATCCTAGGTAGATAAGAAATTCAGAATAACTAACAAGAAAGGTATTTAAAAGTTAATTCATTTGTGCAGACAGACCCATTTTGTTTTCATCTCTTACCTTCCATTCATATCTACATCCATTTATGCCTGTTGTTCCTTTTCCTACTCTGTTACCTGTCAGATTTGCACCCCAAACCTGAATGCCTGGTCTGGGGTGGAGCTACTACAAGCTTTTTCAGAGCTCTTCAATGCTTGATTTTTTTGACTTGACGTTTTCTCCCCAGAGAGCTGTTGGCAGCACTCTCTCCTAGGAATTTCCTTCATTTTTCAGAAGGGAGAAAGAAGATACTTCAGGTTTGTGTGCTTGATAAGTAAAGCAGGTTAATATATAAGCCTTAGGATAAAGTATCTTTAAAGGAACAAGTTCACATAGGTTTGCAGATTTGCAGTATGCTAAGGTAGTGGTTGGGAAGTCACTCTTCTACACCAAGCTTTTAATGGAAAATTATTCAGAAAGCCAAATAGAAATTTCATATCTCGCAGATTTTAATCATTACAGATACTTGGCACAAAACACTCACTAGTGTGACAGAACCAATAAGACAGAACCAATAAGACCTTAGAGGTGAGTGGTATGTTAGAGCCCTGCTGCATGGCATCCAGATATGCCTCATTACCTGTCTGTCAGTCTATTTGAAATCATTTATGTCTGTGTTTTTGATCAGTATAATAAATACATTAATATGTCACCTTATTTTATTTTAAGAAACTGAAAAGACCATTTTGCCACAGAGCAAACTTGTATAGCACCCTTGGATTTCTGTCAAAAATTGCACTAATAGTCTGTAGCTCATTATATGAACTTGATTTTCCCTTTCAAGCACAGCTTCTACATGATACAGTTAAGCTGTGTAATTAGTGGTTTAGATAATAAATTGGTTTTCTATCAGTCTCTTGTGTTTGTTATTGCTAATGAAATTATGGTAGGATTTGGCATAGCAAGTATAGGAACACTGTTATTTTACCTTATGTTTTAAAAGCTATTCCCTAATTGTATTGCATACAAGATGTCACACTAAT